CGTGTGTTTGATTGTTCTCAAACCATGAGTTAGCCGTGTGTTTGATTGTTCTCAAACCGTAAGTTGTCAGTGAACAAAGGAGGGGGCAAGTTTCTGCGTACTGTCGTACCGAGCAAGGCTGTAAAACAAGATATTTTTTCATGTCTCCAAAGTGATATGGCAAATGGCAAACTACTAGCTATAACTAACTAACTAACTAACTAACTAACTAACTAACTATCTGGTTATCGTTGTACAAATAGTTGCTATATTACCATCGTTGACTACATGTCACCACGAGAGTATTTCTAACCGTAAATGTGCGCGCACACGCTCGTACCGAGTGTTCAAGTTGTGAGGTGTGTGATCGCTTTCTCTCTCGTAGCGACACGACGAACGAGAAACACATTCCACAAGGTGACCCAATCGAGCTGTGCCGCGCGCTCACCGAGGCCATGAAGAGCATGAACATCGAGCTGCCGGACAACCAGGGGGCGACACCGCTGCACTACGCCGCCGAGCAGGGCGCGACGATCTGCTGCATGCACCTCATACAGGTGAGAGGGGCTCGTTACAGGTGAGAGGGGCTCGTTACAGGTGAGGGGCTCGTTACAGGTGAGGGGCTCGTTAGAGGTGAGAGGGGCTCGTTACAGGTGAGGGGCTCGTTACAGGTGAGGGGCTCGTTACAGGTGAGGGGCTCGTTGCAGGTGAGGGGCTCGTTACAGGTGAGGGGCTCGTTGCAGGTGAGGGGCTCGTTACAGGTGAGGGGCTCGTTACAGGTTAGTGGCTCAGTACAGGTGAGGGGCTCGTTACAGGTGAGGGGCTCGTTGCAGGTGAGGGGCTCGTTACAGGTGAGGGGCTTATTACAGGTGAGGGGCTCGTTGTTCGCTACAGATTTGCATCAGTGAAAGCCAGTGAGAGGCGAAAAGATGACGAAAGCTGGTGAGAGAGAGAGAATGAGGGCGAGGGGGAAAGAGAGAAGGGGGAGCAGGAGAGAGAAATAGTGATAGAGAGGGAGACAACGAGAGAGGAACAAGGGGGCAGAAAGAGAGAGGAGAGCAAGAAAGAAAGAGGAAGAGATGGAAGGCCAGAGGGGATAATTCCCCTGGTGAGATGGAACACCAATGATCAATCAAGATGGTTCGTGTTTGAGCTCCAGTTGTGCAGAAAGAAGTCAATATACCTGACTGGTATGGTATCAATGATATCTATCACCTTAGTAATTCTCCTTGAAGGTCTGTGGTTTGAACTGTCACAGGAAAACCTACTGATTTCTTGTGTTTCTCGGCAGAAAAACGTTAATATCAACGCACGAGATAACCATGGCAACACACCGCTATGTCTGGCCATCATGGCGAAACACATCAGGTTAGTCATTTTTTTTACCAATCTTAGGTTTTGTTAAACGTAACAAAATACTCATTATGATTACGTACATTACATTACGCCATTCTACTCCATCGTGCCGCGAAGGCGCGGTGGCGACACAGCCAGCCACAAGGCCCGCGGACGTCGCGAAGGAGCGTGCGACAAGGCCGCGGCGGACGGTGCGGCGAAGCCGTGGGGCGGACAGCGGAGGGCGCGGCGAAGGAAGCGTGCGACAAGGCGCCGCGGCGGAGCGTGCGCGGGAAGCGAGCGTGCGCGAAGGGGTGCTAATCACACTAACGAGCTGACGCGGACAGGACACGGTCGCGTTCTCCGCGAGCCGCCCTCGACACGGCAAATTTTACTCTACGGGGGCAAAATTTACTCTGCGATTGCAGCCACACAGTACAGCTGGTCCTCGCATGTGGGTAGGTCTGCTCGGAGTGGGTGACAGGTGGGGGTCGGTAGGTCAGTGCAAATGGAGAGCTTTGAAGCCGTGCATGCTGCATACAGTGGGAAATACTCCGGGAGTCAGTGCGAGCGCCGAGGACAAATGGCGGTACTGCGTGGCGAATAAATTAGACAGTATGCCCTGCATGACAATGCTGCGTAATTGTAGTTTGATCGATATTAACACTAGCAATCTATATCTATTGGTACTAATCTAGCAGGGAGCAATGGAATGACAGTAGGGTGCTAAACTAGCTGAGCTTCCACGGACGATATGATTTCACAGTCAGCCTCGTGCAACAATGCTGGGTTTACTCAAAAATACGCTTACACAACGCTGCGCAAACAATGCCTAGGTCAATAGTAGAAAACTCACCAACGAAGCTGCTCCAACCAACGCAAAATGGCACATTAAAAACAAATAAAACAACACATAATCAAAATAATGCGCTTGCAACTACAACGATGACAACAGACGACCCACTATGCCCCCACACCCCCACTTTGAACACACGCGAACGACCTATGCCGCCGAAACGGCCCACGTCACGTCGTTCAAATCTCGACGCTCGAAGGTCGGCCGTCAGCGCCCGCGGTCAATAGCGCGGTACCAACCACGGCCAACGGCAACCGCGCAATGCACACACGCAACGGCACTCACAAGGTGGACCACGCCCGCAGCACGCGTGCACTGCCCAGCACGCACACACAGCACGCTGCACGAACGTATTAAACACTGCTGGTAGCGAGAGGCAGCATCGCACGCAGAGGCGTGAAGCCCCTTTGCAGTCCGGCGACCTTCGCCATCGACCTGTCACGCATCTCGGCGAGCGCCAGCGAACGGAGCTCCTAGCAAAGGCAGACGCAAGTTAAAATTCAAGGCAATACGCGAAAGTGACAATTAATAAGACACTCACTTCAAGTTCGAGTTCGCCAAGTGTGGGAGAAGACAAACTTAACCTCCGGCTTCGCTGCCAGCCATTGAACACTTGGCGATCCACACAGGCGGCGCACCACACACACTTGGGAGAAGCACCTCCATGGAGCAGCAACTGCACACACCACAGCGGCCAACACTTAACATTGAGAGAGAGAGGCACGGGCGCCACCTACCACGAGGAGAGAGGAGCACAGGGCGCCACCTACCACGAGGAGAGAGAAGGCAGAGGCCGCCACCCGGTACGCACGAGGAGCAGAGCACAGGTGGCCACCATTACCACGAGGAGAAGAGAGCAGGGTTGCCACCCTACCACAAGGAGAAGAGCACGGGCACACTACCGACGAGCAGAGAGAGCATGGGCAGCCAACCTACCACGAGCAGAGAGAGCAGCGGTGCCACCTACACACGAGGAGAAGAGAGAGCAGGCGTGCCACCTACCACATAGGGAGAGAGAAGCACGGGCGCCACCGCGCTACCACGAGGAGAGAAGCACACGGGCCGCCAGCTACCGAACAAGAGGAGAGAAGAGAGCAGAGGCGGCCACCGTACCACGCTCACGAGGAAGAGACGGTGCCACCTACCACAGAGGAGAGAGAGCACAAGGCGCCACCATACCATGAGGCAGAGAAACATGGGCGCACACTACACGAGGAGAGGAGCACGAAGGCGCGCCAAACCCACCTACCACGAGAGGAGAAGAGGCCACAGGAATGCCCCCAGCCGACGACAAGGAGAAGAGGCACAGGTGACACCTACCACAAGGAGAGAGCAGCAAAAGGTGGCCACCTAACAGAGGAGATACGAGGCAGAGGCGCCACCATACGCACGAAGCAGAGAGCAGCACGGGCGCCACCTACCACGAGCAGAGAGAGCACGGGCGGCCACCTACCACGAGGA